AGACACGTCCACCAGCCCATCACGGGCGAAGACGGATGTGCTAATTTCACTCTCCTCGCATAGGACGCGTGTTTGCTACCACTATGCAGAGCAGTTCACTTCGGGCCTGGTCAGAATTATCAACTTCCCTTTGCTCATGTATCGATGTTCACGATNCAGTATTGTCAGTTGTATTCTAGCCTATGGAACTCAGCCTCGCCATTCCTTTCCCTGCATTGGAATTTATGTGTTGGCACAGGTAAACTGGTCAATCAAATCAAAGCTGCTGATATCTGCGCTAATCTGTTGAGATGCATCGCTGTACGTAAATATCAGCAGGATTCGGCTGATAACAATGATATTTTGCTGACCGGAGGAGCTCGTGGCGTGATCGGTTTGTGGGATCTGCGTGTTCCCGGTCCAGGTCGTCCACAGCAGACGTTCCGCCATTCGGGGCAACCGTATTCTGTAAGTTCTCACTTGCTCCTTCCCGCATTTTTCCAGGTTGTTTCGGAATTGTAACTGCACATCCCGGACTTTTTGTCAATCAGTTTACTATTTCTTCCAGTGAATAAATATTGAGGTTTGCACAGAGACCCAAATGTGAGGCATGAACTGAAGTGGTCAGAACTAAATGCACTCCACTGGCTTTCGAACCTGCCTCTGCGACATGTTCGGGCACTTTCTATCGTTCAGGTCATAATGATCCTCCATCCCTCTGTTGCCAGAACCATTGGCTCACTGATCTTCATCATCGTTATCTGAATGCTGTTTGGCATCACTACTTTGATCCGGTCAAGACAGTTTCTTCCTGACAGGGATTTCTCCGTCTGATTGCACTTCACTATGCATCAAAGGTTCGGGTATTTCCAGTAATGGTTCGATTTCCGCGAACTATGTGATCAATCAATTGAAGTTAATAAGGAACTGCTGTCAAAGCAAAATCATAGAGTGAGAAAACTAGCTACATACGAGTGGTAAATAGATACTCGAGTATCATTGTTTAGGACGCTCACCGACACGGTCTGTTGTGTTTAATCATCAGCTAGACACCTTTTAGGAACCCCAATCAAAAATCCATACGCTGCTGGAAATGTTTGTATCTTCCTACCTTTGGCCAACCACTGGTAAACGTTCCACGCCGAGAAAGCCTATCTGATTATATATGACATTAAGTTTTAGTTTATAAATAGCAATTGGATAGGTAAATGTTGTCTTTTGTTGTCCACGCACATTCAGCTGTCACCATAGTGTGTGTATTATGTCCTTGAAAGTTTCATACCTCAAGTTAATGCATTTCAAATGCGATTGAATTTGATGCGTAATGGTTGACAAACTGCCCTGAGCAACTGTTTCACGCGTGTTGGTAATTGTAAGCAGTGTATACTTGCCTTTACTCAGCTGTCACATAACCTTCATGCTTTCACCTAGTTTCTGACCTCTGTTGCGTCGTGTTTTAAACCTGCTGTTTGAACAAATGTGGGTTCTTATCTTATTTTTCGACTGCCGTTTTATTGAAACCATAAGAGTAGGAACGAGGGAAACAGCCAATCAAAGGTCTGTTATGTGATGCAGCCTGATGGACAAAGTTCTTTCTTTGTTGACTTACCGAGGTCACTCAACTCATATTTCTGGTCGAGGGAAAGTCTACGGCGAGCTAAGCAATGTATTCAAAACCAGCATTAGTGTTCTTCGAGGATGTCCGGTCTCACCAATATTCTTCAGTTTCGTCACAAACGAAATTTTGGATAAAGAACTTAGTGTTCTCTATTAGGTCGGCATTGAACGGGAAGCCGAAGTAACACTGCGCTTTTGAATGTGCTAATGTACAAAGGATGCGCAAAGCACACTTGATTGACTGACAAGTTCTTTTACTCCGTTTGCTATACGCTTTGGACCTTCAGAATGGAAACTAATGTTGCAATACTGTGTCGCCGAACCCCGATCTTATGCTTGGTGATTAGCAATAGGCAGTGGTGCTCAAGCCGTAAAGGTCGCCAACTTATCACAACGGAGGAGTCGTTTTCGAATCACATCACTGCTTGTCTTTCCTCATTCTGTAAGGCAATTCTTTGATAGCCCTTTTCCTCCTGCCTGAAGATCGTATCGTTAACTATTCAATAGAAAAGAAACAAATAAAAAGAAGGAAAAAGATAATCAGCCAGAAGCTTCAGTGTGGTCGGGGTTGGGTAACCTGGTTTGTTGGTCACCGCTCCCTTGTACCTCACGAAATGCTCTTTTACGACTAAGCATCTCAAACAGCCTCACTAAGGTGAGAGGAAAAAAGCCAATATACGGGGCTATAACTGGGTCATTGAACCACTAGCATTTCACCTAGGGGAGTTGACTAGAAATCCTGATTTCAAACTAACCAAGAAGAAGCGTACGAACCGCACACACATAGCCTCACCTTCCGGGTTTTGTCGGTGGTCACTGGCTCGATTTTCTATCGAGGTATATTGGGCACCTTAGACGTTTGATCCCGTCCAAAGGACATATAGTCGGTGGAAAAAGCCAATGATGGTCAGAATAGGATTCGGCCCGAGTTCATGAAAACCCTAACCGGGGCACTCGGTCATATGGGTCGCGTTAGGCTCCCTGGTTGGGGACCTCAGGATCACCGTAATCAATGGTTAGTGACACTGACTGATATGGCTGAGTGCCGTAAAAGTGGCGTTCATGCATGTTCTCAGTTTCTTTGCAACCTGAGTCCACTGAAATTCTCTGTTTTCCCTTCGACTCTACTTTCAACTTTCCAGTCTTTCTTTTAAAGGCAGTCTAAGACTGCAACCGAAACCGGCGCATGAAAGAGAATGGTTACTGATTGTACAAACTGAAAGTACGCAAGTGATTCATTTTTCTGCGGCAACCATGCCAGTGCAATGCGAACGGTCTCCGGGCTGTCCAAGTGCAACGGAGTTGACACGAATACGGTACAGGACGTCCTCCAGCTCGTATTCTTACAACGGTACGAAACTGAGCGGAGGACGGACTTGTGTTTGAGTGAGAGTGGGAGCCGCAATGTTAATGACAGCGGCACGGCATCACGACAAAACACTGACAGTAGGTCTTCTGTGGGCTACTGTTTACAGTAGATCTGCGAGGCAAAATGAACGAAGTACCTTGAACCTAATACGTTCGGTGAGGCACAAACGTTCACG